TCTTTGCTGCTCTAATGAATTAGTGTCAGTCCTGGGGCCAAGGTCAGAACTGGAGGGACCAAGGGAACACCACTGAGACGGATCAGCCACACCACGTTGGGAACCACTCCTGGATCTGTCACAGGCTGCCGACAAGTATTGCCAGGGCTGTCCAGAAAAGCCTTCTCTTTGCTAATCGTATACGATGGTTAAGCTGGGCTGACAGTTCTTTTGAGAGCCTCAGATGAAAACAGAGACAAGGAGCCTTGGGAAGGAGAGTGATGGTACTGGGTCCCTATGATTCCCGCAGACTTACTCTGTCCTGCCATACGCTGAACCTGCTTGGTAAAGGATAGGACATTGCATGTCAAGAGATAAAATGGAGACTTTTGATGCTGACTTCCCAGTTCAGAAGATGCTGGTGGTTTTGTTTTGTTATTTTTTTAATGACGAAATGCAGTGCCTTTTATTCCTAACAATCTCATCAGTTAGTTGGAGACCAGACTCCATAGTGAGCAGATAGCAAAATTCCTACTCTATGTTTGGGTGGAGTCTTGCAAATAATCCCTTAAGTACCCTGTTTGTTTTCTTGCTGTAAAGTGACGCTTGTCTTTGAAGGAAAAAACCAAAACAAAGTCAAATAGAGAATAACTCAGAGCAAAACATTTCCTAACAATAAGGGCTGGAAGGCTCTGTGTTCCTTGCAAAAACAACCACGAGTGCAAGAGACTGCACCCCAGCCACATTAGGGAAACACAGGAAAGCCACTCTCTGACCTGGAAGAAAATGGGGGAGGAAGTTTCCAACCTAGTTACAAAACTGCTCCACTGTCGTCATCAAGGCCAGGTTTAATACAATTAGACCTGATACAGACCGAGTTTAAAAGCCATTGTCAAATGTGTTTGTAGCTAAGCGGCAGAGATTTGTGGCTGGGTTTGGCTTTGGAGCTGAGGGCCAGCAGAAGGGAGCTCCTCGCTGTGGCCCCCTGGGCAGATGGGGCTGCTGGCTGGGGGCTTCCCCTCGGGGACGAGTCCTCTGCAGCGAAGCCACAGCCCAAATGGACAGGAAACAGGCTTGACAGATGAGACAGGCACGGGGATAATGGCTGGTGTGAGTGATGGGGCAGGCTGCGTGGCGGGTAGGGCGGTCGCGAGGCACTGCTGGATGAGCTAAAGACTCCATTAGACTGAAACTGGAGTGCTGTACGGGATACGCATTCCGGTGTGAGGTCTGGGGCTTACTGGATAAGGGTGAGCTGCTGTACAGTACAGTTTCAGAGGGTTATTTATGCTGCAGTGGAGGGAGAAAGCAAACCGAAGCTGTGCATTGGACAAATAAGTCGATGAAAAGATCTGGGTGGGAATGTGCACATTGCCTGATATGATTTGGTGTCCCAAATGGCCTTAAACAGCCCATAGAATTTCTATGTCTAAACCAGATTCCAGCAAAGGAGGCCTTTTATGATGCACTAATAGGCTCATTAGGCTTTCTTGGGCAAGGCACACTCAGCATCATATGTTTTTTCCATTACAGGAATTACACGTGTTTTGTTGTGCTTTAGGTTTTGTTTTGTTTTCCACATAGACTTGCCCTGACAGTTCCCCCATTCAGGTTTATATTGGAGGTACCATCTCAAGCCAATGAATTTTATGAAATATGTTGCTGGCACTCACAGAGAGATGCATAAAGGAAATATTCTAATGACAGTTGGAAAAGCTTTGATCCCTTTCCAAGACTGCACTCACGTCTTTGAAATGCGAGTTTGGCAGTGCTGGAAAGGCTGGGCTCCTTGGCTGTCTTTGGCACGAGCCCATGTGACAGACATTATGTCCTCTATCAGGGGACCCACATAACCTTGAGAAGTGTAAGCAATGCTCGCGGATTGCATTGGGTCAGATAGTCTGGGCTGATAACAAAGCAGCCGCGGCAGCAGGGGGGAGTCAGCCTAGTCCAACACAATAACTGAAAACTATTTTGACCTGGTAACTCTTGGGTCTGCTGCCTGCGGCTACGTAGTTGGACATGAACTGCAAAAGTAGTTAATTTATGCCTCCTTGAGTGTAGGAATGTGGTGATGATGGATAGGGATGGGAGGTTATTAGAAACATGGGGAGGAAGGAGAGGACGGAATTCCAGCACGTGTTTTTATCTCTCTCACACACACACACACGCTGGTTCCTTTGCATACATGCTCTTGGCTGTCTTGCATGTGTGCACAATCCAAACCCTTGCTTACACACTCACACCTCTGTTCGTGCACGCACATGCAGGCACATGTTCACATGCTGACAAGGGATTTGCCTGCGCTAACTGCTCGAGCATGTTTATGTGTTGGGGGGTGCTGACTGCTTTTACAAAGGGGTTTCCATTTACTTCCTCCCAAGCGTGATCTGTTTACATCTACTCCTATACAGACCCTTTGCTAAAAAATCATCTTAGCGTTCTGTTCTTACACTGTTTGAATATATTCTGCTCATTCACAGGCTTTCATTGGCTAGCAGAGAATTAGTGGTCAGAGAAATACTGTAAAACCAAGTCCAATTGATTTAATACAGTGGATTTACGTAAGACATAAGTTCAGTCTCGGTGATGTACTGACATCACTGGCCAATTAGTTAAATGCTGCCTGCTCTGAATGTTGTCTGCAGTAATAATCCACGTACAAAATAGCCCTAGATGTTGAAGCACATAGCCGGTATGTAAGTGAGAGAGCGATTGTGGCCATGAACTGCGGATATAAATGGGGATTGGATTGTGTAAACAATAAGCAAAGAGACGGCTGAGAATAAAGAAATATTAGTTTAGATTATTTGAAACCATAAGAGAAGAGCAAGGATAAAAATGGTAATCTCAGGAGGGGAGTTGGATTATAGTTACTCCTACAGGGATTTGCATAGGCCATAAAGTATCTGCATCCAGAGTCAACAACCGCAGTCTCAATACAGACAGCAGGCCTTTCCTTCCCACTGTGATACAAAACACACAAACATTTTTCTACTCAGAGGTACGCAGTGCTTCTGTTTCTGTCCTTTTCTGTCTTACACAAAGTATCACATCACTCCCATGTTCTCTCTTACACTTTCGCTCACTGTCTTTTATTGATGGTGCCATACGTGCAGACGTGCACATCAGCCCCTTCCCATGCGTGTGTCCTCCGTCACATACTCCCCCAATGCGCTTATGCTTTCATTTGGAAATGCGCATTAGCTCTCATACGCAACTTCAAACTGTTGCTTGCGGACATGTGTAAGTATGAGCCCATGTTGGGAAAAGATGTTTTCAAAGGCACAAAGAAGATCCTGGAAATAGATAACGCATAGCCTCAGAACATTGTGCAGATACATGCAGAACAAGCTTGAGGAGCTAAGGGAAAGATCTGTGTGTTTTCCATAGATGTGTTGGGAACACTGGAGAGATGAGAAATGTGTAAAGGGTCACAGTGCTGACCTGTCCTTCAGGATGTCATCCACATCGATCGGAAGATAAACACTGTATGGAATGGAAACATACCCTTCCACTGGTGTCCCCAAAGAGCACGTCTTCCTCCATGAGTCAGCGAGAGCCTGGGGACACCCAGCCATGAACTATTTTGGAGGCAATGACTTCAGCAAGTGGCAGGGGAAGCTATTGTGGAAATATGAATGTGTTTTCCATTGGGGAGTCCTCCAGGGAAGGACAGAAAGATCTTGGTGCTGAGCCAACTCCCCTATTTTTTCTTCACCCTTCTGGGAACGAAAGCCTTGCAAAGTATGCAAGGAACCCTACTTAGTGAATGTGAGTGCGTTTGGTTTGTGAGAGCTACATGAGCCCTATAAGCACCCATGCACATACAGAAAGGGGGACTTTGGGAAGCAGGTATCAACCTGCTCAAGACCATCATGGGATCCTTTCCTTAGAAGCTTGTCAGCTGTGCTTGGCTCAGTGTGATCTCTTTCCATTGTTTCCACCTGTCCAGTGAAGATAGCACAACTCATCCTTGTTTTAGATTATGTGTTACACAACACTTAATATCAAAAGACAATGTGAACTGGAGACAGAGAAGCAATGGGTTTACTCTTATGTTTCACGTTCTCCAGCTTTGCTCAGAGTTAGAGCATCGCAGTGCCACTGAAAGCAGCGTGGCACCATGGTACACACTTTGGCAAGTAGCAACTCCTGTATTCCAGCGTTGACAAAGTCTACTCCTTCAAAGCAGCGCTAAAAGTACTTCAACAGCCATCGAGCTTAAGGGATTGGCTTTGCTTGCCTGCAAGCAGATTGCTCTGTAACCTCCAGACATCCCAAAAGCTAAGAAGAAACACTGCTCACCTTAAGGAGCCTTAGGAATTTATGTCATGGTATGGTACCACTCCTGTGGAGGTCTCTCACAAGGACATCTCTTGGCACAACTTTGCTTGCTGGAAATAGCAATTCCCAAACAAGCATCCTATGTCAGGGTTAGACCAAGTGCAACTCAGCAGAAGTGACTGCTACTGGTGCTAAAGGAGTAACTTTGCAAGCTGGTGTTAGTTGTTGCTCCAGCCTGAAGATGTGAAACTTGTTACTGTGAAGGAAAATTAAAGGTAACAATAATAAACATCTTAGAGGAAATGTGCAAGGTAACTGCTGATATAAAAAGATTTACTGACCATAATACGTGGTTAATTACATTCATAATAAATAGATTCCTATACTTATCTTAGGAATGTGGACAGCTTTATGTATTTACCTTGGATTTTGTAGCCTCAGTTAATCAATGGCCTGAAGTCCTTAGATGAGATTTACTATATGAATGCAAAGTTAATTGAAGTTTGGGAGTGGGTTATTAAAATATTTCAGGTGACTGATATGCAGGATATTATAAGATCTTTGCCTGGATTGCAGCACTTCAATACTTTGTTGCTTTTTGTGTCACCTTTAGAAAAAAAAAAAAAAAAAAAAACTTTTTTTTTTTTACAGAAGAAACTTAGATTTTCATGAACGTAAGCTTTTTGTGTCACCTTTAGAAAAAAAAAAAAAAAAAAGCTTTTCTTTTTCTACAGAGCATACTTAGATGTCAATGAACTGAAGAACATACTCAAACTGGATGGATCCACACACCTCAACATCTTCTTTGCCAATTCCTCTGAGGAAGAGCTGGCTGGAGTGGCAACTTGGCCCTGGGACAAGGAAGCCTTGATGCATCTAGGTGAGTGATAAAGATGTTTCTTCTTTGTGAAGCATTCTTTTGAGGCGCTAAGAAGGAAAGACAAATATGCGTTAAGCTCTGTTCTGATTTCTTATCATTCCTCTAATATATAGTCAGGGGAAAAAAAGTATTTCACGATTCCCAGATACTGGCTCACAACCAGGAAAATATTAGGTTATAAACCCAAAGCATATTATGGTATTTGTAGATGATGTCAAGCTGAAAGTATTTCACCTTTTAAGTGAAGCTACTTTACAGGGCATTCACTCCATGGGAGCACTTTGCAAAGAAGATTGGGGGGATAGGTGGGGGGATGCTAGACAGAAGTGAATTTTTAACCTTAGCCTGTTATGTTCTGATCCTTACTTCATTACTTAGTAAGTGTTCAATTAATTGTCCTCACACAGTACAGCTACCATTTGTTGCTATTTTTCTCTACCAACGTGCAAAAGAGCAAATTGCTGAGAGATTGTATTTCTAATGTTCATTTGAGTGGAACTGGAAAGAGTTCGCTACCCTGCAGATTGCCCTGCGTGTTTCATAACTGGGTTGCTGAGCATGGCTGCTGGAACCCAGGGCTCCAGACAAAGCTGTGCAACCTCCCAAATGACTCATTGCCCTGACACCTGCAGTGCTGCCGGACCTGTGTTCCTTGCAAAATGTCAGATGAACCTCAAAAGGTTCAGAAGGCACCGACTGAGTCTGTATGTACTTCTCTTAACTGCACAAACCTCCCTGGGGCTGCAAACCTGATCTGGTCATAAAAGCAGGGATTCTCACAAGTTTTCCAGATATTTCTCCAGGCTGTCCAGACCTTCCTAGGCTGGAAGTGAAGTCTAGTTTCAGCCAAGTTCAGTCTTTGTGAAAGGCTGTTTCAGCCAGTTTTTATATTACCCAACCCCACGTTGAGCAAAACAAAAAAGATGTGGCAAATGTAAAGCTAGACGAGGGGAGCAAAATATGGTGTTTATTATTCTAAAGCATACCATGAGAGCTGAACTACAACTTGAGCCATCAGTCAGGGAGGCTTTTCCATGTTCAAAAATACATTACCCTCAGACCTTAGATATTAACTTTTCCTTCCAGTCACCTGTCTCCATAGCTGAGTGAGGCTCCATGGTCAGACCAAGCAATTGGAGCTGGCTGCCCTACTTCACTGAGTAAACGTTTTATTATGACATCCAGCTCTGCAGCTGCTCTGGAAGAAGCGTGAGCAAACTTCCCTTCCCAAAGACCGGCACTGACACCCAAAAGTCTCCTGCCGAGCTAGGCTGGAAGGGAAGTCACTTCCACTCTGACTTGCCTCCAGCCCCATCTCCCTGGGCTCCTGGTGGGAGCACCCAAAACAGAAGATGCTGTAAATGCCTACCAGTGAGCATTCCCCACGTCTTCTGGCAAAAACGAAGATAGATGTTAACCCCAGCCTCAACCAGCACCCACACTGCTGTGATTTCTATCACTGTGTAATACCACAACCCCCTACTCCTGCTCTAGCCCTCTAGCAGTAACTCTGCTTCTGATTGTGCAACGGGATGGGTTGCTGGTGGGAAACACTAGCCCTAATGCCACTGCTGGAGTGAAATCAGGCTGCAATATAGCCTATCCTGCCTTAAATGAGTATTTTCACAGCCTCCCTTGGTGTTGCCATGGGAGGGAGCAGAGAAAAAGGGGAGAGCTCCAGAGTGCCAAGAAGAACCTTCTGCAAGAAGGCTGGGGCTTGCCCAAAGCCCTGATGAGTTCTTCTGTCACTTCGTTAAGCTAATTGTCAACATCATGCCTGAGCAAAACAATTTAAATTCAGCTCCTACAGTGTATTGACAGAATTCATTGACCAAAAAAAGATCTCACGAGAAAAAAGACATTAGCCAACAGTTTAAAGTTGACTTGCAGTGCAAAAAAAGTAAAAATAAATAAATAATGGTCATAATTTCCTGTCATAATAGCCCTCCCAGACCTGTGCTTGGTCTGTAAGAATTCATCTTTAATCTTTTTTTTACTCTCTTCTATAAATCCAATATGTACTTAATAAAAAATATGAAATATGTCCTGTTGTGCAGATCTAAAGGCTGGGATAGAGATTGTCTGGGTGAGGGAGTTTATCTTTTCTGTAAAACTGCAATTGATTTAGATTCTTGACAGCTGTGAAAAATATAAATTTTCAACAAAGGCAAAAATAAAATCTCCCTCTCCAGCTGCCTCAGGGCTGTCCAATGCCAGAAGCATTTACCCAGCCTTTATTTTGAAGGCACGTCCTGCTGAGGAATTTCACCAATACTCCTGGCATTGGAAAACAAACTCTGGAAGTACCTTTGGGAAAGAGACCCCCACAAAACCATGCACCAAGGTCCTCTCTGGGTGTAAACAGCTCCACGTGGGTAGACCTCAAGCACTGGAGGACTCACAGCACGTATTGTAAGAAGGAACGTGGAAGGAACATGGGATTGCAGTGCCTGCATATGAGTAGGTCTGTAGACAATTAATTGGGTCTGTGGAGAGCTGGCGGAAGGACCAGTTCAGTGCTGTGAGAAGGATGTACAGATGCTCCATGTGGCATAACAGGCATGATGTTGTAGTGTGATTAATTTTGTTCACTCTTTTGTGTCCGTATTTAAATTTGCAGTCCATTTTTTTTAATACTAAGTATATATTTGTGCATGCACATGTGACTCCTCTCCACTGTGTGCGTGTAATCACACATGCCCACGCACAAAGGGAGTCTTTTCTCTATTGCTATGTGGGTGTGTGTCTGTGTCCTTGCAAGACATCCAAAGTGGTCTTCAGCATTGATAAAATTTCAGCTGGAACACTGTATCATGTGTGGACACTGTACTTGAAGGAAAATGTGAGCCAACTGGCAAAACCAAAGGAGAACAACAGTCAGGGAGGTATACAAGAAGGATTAAGCTACAAGGAAAGGTTGAATGGATTGTGGTTATTCACAGTGAAGGAAAAGAGCCTGAAGTGGGAATGATGACAATCTCATAAAAGCTGATGAAAGGGGAGGAGAATCTTCTGTTCTTCATATCTGTGTGAGGCAGGAGCTGAAGTCATGAACTTAAATTGCCAAAAAATCAATTCAGATTAGATGTGAGTTAAATCTTTGCAGCCGTAAGGATACTGAGGGCTGAAATTGATTGCTGGGGTAGTTGTGTCGTCAGGGGTTGTGAAGAGACGTTAGGGATGGTATAGACCTGATTGGTCCTGCATTGTTTGACAGTGGAATTAGATGACTTAAGATCTTCTCGGTCTTATTTTCCTGTAATTCCATGGTTATGACAATCAAGTCTCCAGGCAGATGAGAAGGCAGAGTCTATGGTGTGTCTGAACCTGGTGATCTCATCTTCCCTGTGCTACAGTCATTGATAAAGTTCCTCCTGCCAAAACCTTTTCTCTCCTCATTGTCACTAAAATATTAGTGTGCCATATTCAAGATTTATTTTCACACTATAACTTTTACAAAGCACTCTGCCGTTCTCATGGTAGGCAATATACACAAACAGTTTCAAATAAAAGGCTTGGAAAAGTGGAGGTCAACAAGCTAAATAAAGAAAATACGAAGCATATCATAAATCCAAAGGTATATCTAGCTGAGCTAAAAATATAATTCTTATGATTAATTCAATATACTGTAAAGTCTCACTAATACACTCTTTGCTTATCTACACATCCCATAACACATACAACAAAAAAAAATCACCATTGGTTTTCTTTGTGCACATTTAACAACCACGCAGTACTTTTAGAATTATCACATTCCAGGATTTCGTATTGTTTGACACATTAGACTTATGCATATTCATCAGTGGACCGTGCAGTTCAGATCAAACTAGACTTGTCTGAGCGTATGAACAGAGTGTGTTTCTGACAGTTACTTCAAAGCTGTCTATGTGATCAGAGCACACCTTGCAAAAACTGTTCCAGCCTCGGGTGTATTCTGTTTTCTTTGTCCAGCTTTTAGTTTGCAAATATTGGTGCAACCTACTGCGATGTTTAGGGTGTTTCAGAAGTTAATAGGCTTCTGTTATATCTTTGCCCTGTGGAATAGTATGCAGAGAGTGCTCCATGTATGTTTTGGTTGACTCGTGGTATCAAATACATTGCTTACACTTATCTGGGCAGAATCTTTCTCTTTTAGCACATTAAGTATTTGAAATTGCATAATACGAAGTAATTGCTTGTAGGATTTTTCTGTAAGTTAACAAACAAACCAAATTCAGCATATTCAGTTAAGGACCAATTGCCACTGTGTTTTTGGTTTAGGATCTTGGACTTTGTCCCACGATCCCTCATCCTTAGAGCCCCAGATTAAAGGTGAGATTAAACCTTGCCATGCAGTTTCTCTGAGCAGGCAATGTGCAAAAAGCAGTCTGTGCTGTAGAGGATCCAGTGAACTGCCAGTGGATATGCCCTCAGGATTGTCTTCCTTTCCCTTTCTCATGCTGTTCTGAGGAAGACGAGGCAAATGTAGAAGCTACTATTCTCTTTTCTCCTTGCAGGTGGCATTGTGCTGAATCCCTCCTTCTATGGAATCCCTGGCCACACGCACACAATGATCCATGAAATTGGGCACAGCTTGGGGCTCTATCACGTCTTCCGGGGAATCTCAGAGATCCTCTCCTGCAGCGATCCATGCATGGAAACTGAGCCCTCCTTTGAGACCGGAGACCTCTGCAGTGACACCAACCCTGCTCCTAAGCACAAGCTGTGTGGGGATCCTGGACCTGGCAATGACACGTGCGGTTTTCAGAGTTTCCTAAACACGCCATTCAGTAACTTCATGAGCTACGCAGGTACTTGGGTTTCCTTGGTTTGCTGGTGGTGTCTGTGGTTGGGCAGGAACAAAGAATATCAGCATTAGCTCTGATTTCTACGGCCCATTTCATGCGGCGCCCTATGCTGACATGTGTGCCCATTGGTCTAGGACCAGCCTTGATGAGGGATCAAACTTGATGTCCTCAGGAATCCCTCCCAGTTCTCCTGTTCTTTTTTCCCAGTTTTCCCCAACGTTACATAGTTTAATGTGGTGACCAGGCAGAAGGTTTGGGGGAGGGAGGAAATGAGATAAGCATTAAGAAAACAGCTTCTAAAGGCTCTACAGCAAATTTGACAGCCTATTTCCCTGGGATCTGGATGCCTGATCTATGAGGTCTTCTTTGATAAAACACAAATTCAGAGATTCTTTACCCTCTCCCAAAGAAGATATTGAATGTCAGATGAATATTGATACCACCAAGGCTGTAGGATAAACCTGTGATAGGGAGACATCTAATGAGACACTGCTCCAGGTGTCTGTTCAAATACCATGTTTATTGTTTGGTTTGGAGTCACTGTGGTTCAGCTAGAGTCACTCCCATCTGAGTTTCATCATTAGAGTGTGAATACTGGGATAGTACCTGGGTTGGGATTGTTCTTCTGGTCAAAGACTACCAGTGTGCTGTGCTGGTTTGTGCTGGGAGTGCCACTACAAAGGCTCCATCCATATCACTGCGGTAAAACCACCCCTCGAAGAGGAATAGGCTGCTTAAGCGAAAGCCTGATTTTGTAGTTATAACTCTGCAGGCTTCTGTCGGCACAGAGTGCCGATTAGTGGCACTCCTACCCACAGAGCGTACCGCAAAGAGGGCATGAGCTCCTGTCACCCTTGCCCGTCGGATGAGGGTGGGGTGGGCTCCTTGCTGCACCCCTGGAAGTTCAAGGGGAGTTGAAGGACCCTCTGTTATTTCCCAGAAAGAACAGGGGATACCTTGGCTCATATTTCCCCTTATTTTGGGTCAAAGGGTCTAGCTGTGATGAAGGTTTGTGACATTGAGCTGACAGCATCAACAACATTTTAAAGGTGACCAGTATACTTATAGCCACTGAAGGGCACCTTTATACCCAGGCGAAAACACAGATTGCCCACTCAAAAGGTCATAGGAGTGCTTATTCTGTAATAAAACTGTAGAGAAGCAAAGTGTTTGATGTCATCTGGGGCACAGATTGAAATGATTTATAACAGAAATGCTTTTATGTCCTTCATGGTGCTAGCTAAAAGTGATGCTTCGTATTCTCTTTATTTTTCTGTTTGTTTAGAGAGTGTTTTCAGGGACAAGCATACACGCACTGAGTCAGCTCCTCAGCGTGTTATGCGCTTTAGTGCATGCCGTAGGGCAGAGAGTTACTGCCTGATACAGCCTCCCGGTAACATCACACAAATCAGTCAGTGCCACTTCAGATGACAACATCCCTCCACAAAATCTGCTTGTGTGTATGTGACAAGGGGAGGAGCGTGTGTGTTTCCAAACGCTGAGGTCTCTTTTTCCAGAGAGAACTTGCCTCGCCAATTCTCTCGAGAGCTGGGACAGAGAGGCAGACCACAGAGATACCTATCTGCTCCTGGGAGCTAAGTATGTGCTGGTGTTCTGAGCAGAAACCTTTTTTTTTTTTTCTTGAAAAATTAAATAAAGTGACATGATAGGCATCTTTAGAGCTCATGCATGAATCTGTTTGCTTTTCTGTTGTTGCCAGTGGAATAAAAATATATCAGGATATCAAATACCTTTGAAACATGTAGGTTGAGGTCATGCAGCTCTAAACATTGCCTTTCTTTCCTTTCTGTTTTGCTGCTTATATACAGCTTGATCATATTGTGTTTGTCTGTCTGTCTGTAACATCCATCTGTCCAGTTACCCCCAACGTTGTAGCAAAGCACTGACTTAAAAGATAACTTTTATTTCCCTGAAATAATAAGTCGTGATGTCCAGAAAATGAAGTGTGAGAAATTGGACTTGTAAATTATTTTTACAAGTCCAAATAGCCGTGGTGTTCCCAAATAAAAAGATAAATTAGTCTTTTAGACCACTCTCCATGAAATCAGCAGGCATTCTGCCTCTGAATTCTGCTGGAATGATCATCCCAGCACAGTCTCTTGAATTTCTCTAACTATTACTTCATTGGAGGATCTTGAACCTTTCTTGAAATGGAGTGATCCAGTGAAATATCTTTCTCCCTCGCCTTTCCTCCCTTCCCTTCCCCCAGGACACAGCCTGTGCTGATGTTTAAACAGATTGAGAATGCAGGTCATCTTTCTCCTGTGCCATTGTCTCACTGCCTTGTCCTATATATATTTTATTGTTCGTTTATGATGGCTATTAAGGGCCTTTGTCTCCTTTTGGGCTTCCGTGAAGAATATTTATGGCTTTTACAACATGCTCAGGGATAGACCATCGATAATTATTGAGGAAACCCAGAGATGTCATATTAAGGCAGCTTTTTGCATACCCGCAGGGATTTGTAGATATTTTCAAGCTGGTGGTGTCAGTCTCTCTGCTGTGCATGTTTGATGAGGGGAGGTTCACTGCTCAGTGGAATTTGGAGAGACACAGGAGAACGTGTGAACTGTCGTGTCCTTACTGTGGAAGGACTGCATTTGGGGCTGTGATTTGAGCAGGGTCCCAACCGAAGCTGTCTCCTTTTGCTTGCATCGCAGGGAAAATGCGCTGAGGTTTTAAATTAGCCAGCAAATTCACACTTCTCTTTAGAACAAGTTCATATTTTTTCATTCCTCTTGAGTTCCACAGGGCACGGACTTGAAGACATCAGAGCATCTAGTAACGCTATTACAATATTGAACTGCCAACTTACATGCACGCAAGCAACTCTCTGAACAGCCTTCGGTGACCTGCATCTTCCCAGAAAAGCGTACTACTTGACCTGTGCAAAACTGTCATTGTTGTTCATATTGCGGCAGCGTGCAGAGGTCCCGTCTGGGACTGAGCTTTACTGGGCTGGGAACTCTGCAGGCACATGTGAAGAAACACTGTGTTTTCAAGAGCTTTTCATCTGATGGGAAGAGTACCAGAAAAACGGTTAAAGTGCTAGCAATAAGTTCTTCAGCAGAGCTTTTCTGGGTGACTTTGCACAACATATTTATTCCTTCTGTGATCTGCACAATAGAGAAATAGTAATTTTCTACTTCTCCCAGGGCATTGTAGTTGTAAAGTTATGGTGTTCAAGAGGGCACTAGATGTGTTCTTGTTGCCAAATCATGTTTGGGGAAAACAGCCGAAATGAGAAATGGATATTTATGGGAAACTATCCAGCAAAATTATTTCTCCATTTTGAATGAAAAAGAAATTTGAAATACCAAAAATGTTTATAAGAAGTTCAGAAAGGGGATAGAATCATAATAGTAATGGGGGAGCTTTTTAATAGAAATTAAGTTGTTTTGCTGCACCAAAAATTTACTTTTTTAATCAGTATTTGTAACGATTTTCTTTTAAATTGATCTTGCAGAACATTTTTTATTTCTTCATTAGAAAATTTAAGAACTTTAAAAAAATAATGTCTTTTTAAAATTCTGTGTTCTTTTAATCTAAGAAATCTGTTAAAGTCTATTGCACACAGTTTGCATGAATCTCGCTCAATGCTTTATCCTAACACTAGCCGTCCTTTGTCCTTTTATCCTCTCTCAGACATATTCTTTTAGACATGAAATTCTTTGAAGTCCAAAGGTCCACTGCTAGTCCCGATTCTGACCTCAGGTGCTGCACTCAGGCTTTCTGTTTCTTCACCTCCATTTGTCTCTGTCTCATCTAGGGATGATCTCTCGGGGCTTCACGTATATCCCGGACCAGAGGGAGAGAAGGTTTTATTGATTTATTTTTTTCCTTTTTAACTTTTGTTTCCTTTCACCTGCCTCCACAAGTGATGACTGCAGTAATTTGTTCACAGGCCATTAACTTTTGAGTGCTGCGAGAACCCATCCCGGCCCTTGCAAGAAGCCACCATTCACTGGGTCATAATTCTCTCTTGCTCCCGCCTTATCTCCCACGTGGTTGATGCAGCTTCTGTTTTAATTTCAGATGATGACTGCACCAACTCCTTCACACCCAACCAAGTCGCCAGGATGCACTGCTACTTGGACCTCGTCTATCAGAGCTGGCAGCCTGCGAAGAAACCAGCTCCCATTGCAATCGCCCCCCAGATTGTGGCTCGGACCTCCACCACTGTCACCCTGGAGTGGTTTCCACCCATTGATGGCCACTACTTTGAAAGGTGATCACGCGCTGCTCTGTACTCTTGCACTGAATTGAATGGAAAGGGGAGAAATAGGGGAACAACCCGGGACCCCACTCCAGGAGCACAGCTTTATCGTGTGCTGTGCTCAGTCTGGGTTAAGGCTCTTTCCTAAATTGGTTCATATTGAGGAGGTTATTGATCTGTTTTCTGCCCTTCCTTTCTCAGCCTGTAGTACTCTGTGGAGAGCCATTGATTTGCCATGTAAAGGGCAAATCTTTTCCCATATGTTACGGGAGGAATTTTCAATCAACGATTCCGGCCCTGCGATTCCTGCTGTTATTGCTCCTTACAAATACCTGTGGGCTTCTGCTCTGCCTGCACGTTCCCCCTCCTTCTCTTTCACGTTTCTTTTGCAAGGACAAGGTGAATCTTGTTTCTACTCCCATGGCATCACAGAGCTCATGGGCAGTGGAATCTCTCACAGGGCAAGGAGGTGGCAGAGCCGGGGAGAGGGACAAATGCTGCCTCCTTCCCTGAGCTGCAGGTCTGAGATGGGAGCTGAACCAAAGACCCAAAACCCCTGAGTATCGTGCAAGCATCATCTTGCTGCACCCTCAGCAGAGCACGTAGGTCAGAGTATGTGTGTGTGTTCGTGTCTGATAGGCATGCAGCTACGCGGTACCAATAAACATGAAATGAATGCAGGGCTCTGGACAAGAGTTGCACCACATTGCAGTTCATAGCTGGAGCAACTCTTGCCCCAGGATGATCTGAGCAACTGGGTCATTCATCTAAATACTCTACGCCGTGCTTGGATAGGCTGCAGGAGCTATAGGGGTCCTAGCAGAGAAGTACCTAAATGATTGTCCTTCTCATATTCCTGTTAACTCACCTTCCCTGTTTGTCTGTCTTCTCCGCTTTTTGCATTGTTATTTTATAGAGAACAAACTTTGAGTGTCCTTCAGGGCTGTAGCAGTACATATCACAGGAGGCCGAATTTACAAGCATATTAGCGCCCAAAGAGCTGTCTCAGCACTGCTGCTTTGTGCAGTGAGAGCACCTTGAAAGCCACTGCCTCCATCAGGGATGAGGCTCCTTCCAGCACTGCTAGGACACCATGGCCATTGCAGTGGCCAGCTTGCACTTTATCTAAGTAGGCAGATAGCTGTTATTTTCTGCTCAGATGACATTTTCCACCTTTATCGCAGATTAATATGGGGAGAGCAATCAAATCATATTAGGAGTTGATAAAGACAGGTCTTGTGCTCTGAACAGTCTTTGCTTTAATTGCAGTTTTGCAACTGAATCCTTTTATTCCCTACATGTGAAAATGACTTATGTGAAGTTCTGAAAATTAATTCAGAATTTTTTGGCCCATAATCATTTTTAGGTCAATTAAGTTTCTCCAATTTAATTTAGATTTCAGAAGATACGTATTGTGTGTTAAATAAATACCATCTGCTTCTTAAAACACATTGATGCAGAGTTAATTGTTAGGTAACCAAATATGTCTTTATTACATATTTCTTATAACTCAATCAATATGTTCTTAATAACCCCTAGTTAGTTGCTTCTTAAATAACACACAGTGGATAGCCTGCTAAATCTAAAATTTCATAACAGAGTTATCATCTGTTAAATAAATAGTGATTTTCTAGGAAAAAAAAAAGTCCTTTGGGTTTTCAAATCTGTGTGCTCAGTATTACTCAAGAGATTTAAAGAGACAGCCTCAAATAGTTTGAGTCCAATTCCTTGTTAAAATGAGATTCCCAACACTATCAGATACAGAAATGTTGCTGTGACCAGTTAAAAATGTCACTGAAATATATGAATGATCCTAAAACATGCCCAAATTTCTGATATATTAATCAAAACAAGGATGATAATAGTATTATAGTGATTAATAGTGGAAAAGCTCACATGCTGAACTTCCAGTACCAATGTGTCCAGCGCTGCTCGGCTAGAGATACATGCCTGTATCAATTTGTAAAATTGGGTCACTGTGCAAGACAAGTAGGAGGTAAAATTGGCCAAGTATAATCTTATCTGTGTGTGGGAATACTGTCAATCTTTGCAGATATTTTTACACAAAGTGCACACCGTGGCCCAAATTTTACTTGCCTCACTTGAATGAATAAACTCATTCACTTCAATGGGACTATTCATGTAAAAAACAGAGGACTGATACTCAGCTGCTGAGTGCCTTGGGCCTGGTTTCTCATGCACAGAGGCCCCTTCCGTGCTGTTTTGACAGTGTAAAAGGGCCTTAAAGGGATGAATGGCTCTGGCTACATTAGCAAGTATTGTGGCCCAATATAAGTAGATCTCTAGCGCAAAACAGTTGTTAATGAAGACCTGACGTCAACACTGTAGGGGTTTTTTGGGGGGTTGTTTCAGCCGAGCTCTGGCCTGGCGCATGGCTTCAGCAGTTGGAGCACATCAGGTGTGGTCCTGGAGCACATCTCCACTCTGGTTTCAGGCAAAACTGGGTCCAGCTTCCAGTTCCTGGACTGCGCAGAGTGCTCTAAGTGGGGAAGATGAAGAGTTTCACTTCAAAAGCTCGCTCCTGATCCAAATTACAATGCTACTGTAGGCGCACTCAGTGTAACTCCAGTTCCTTTTATGTCCTTTTCATTCCCTAGAGCTGTGCATAGGCAGTGACCTCTGCTTAATGAAAGTCAGGAAGGGAAAATTAGCCCTGTGTTTAAAAATGTAACACTGGGCTGGCTGTCTCTGTGGGTGAGGTCCTGACAGGTCTGCATTTGAAGGGAGATGGAGCGTGGAGGTAAAGACCATGTGCCTCTTCCCTGCTTTAGATGCAGCTTTGTGGCAGGTGCCGCAGTGCTAGGTGCTTTTCTCTTAGGACCTCAGTTCTGGAAATTACATGATTAATTATGTAGATCTGGGGACAGAGAGTAATGCTAACTCATAGTTCTTGTAAATTTGGGATTGGCTATCCTGTGTCCTCACAGCTTGGCAAGAGTAGCTACATGAGCTGTGCACAGAAGCAAAATCTTCTTCCTGACAGACCCTCCTTACCTGTTTAGAGTGTTCAATTGATGTCTGCTATGTTAGTCTAGTCATTTACCTGCACATAAATTTGCCAACATGTGTTTGACCCGAAACTCCAGCAGCTGGTTGAGCTTTGAAACATCTCTAATAATCAAATATGTCAAGAACCAGCATTTCTTCCTGTAGCTACTACACACAGGATTGGAATACTTACTGTTTTCCATCCTCACTTTAAAAAAAAAAGCATGAAAAATGTCGCACGCGCATATAATACTATGTAATAATAAAATAATAATAGAGCCAATAAAACAAGTGAAAACAAGTGAGAAGAAGAAAACTCTATTCATTTCCTGACTGCGTCTATTAGATGCATTCATGTGCTGTCGCTAAGCATCCATTCACGCGCCTCCTGTTTGATATGCGTAGGCAGGATGTAAACAGTTATTGTAATAGGGCTCTGCAGCAAATTCTGCTTGGACAGAAAACTTTGAATGCATCTGCTCTTCCAAGTTTTCAGTGAGGTGACTGCATTAATCATGAATCTGATGCTATCTCGTTCTAAGCAAGCAAATATTTTGGTCAGTATGGTGTCCCAGATCTAGATGGCTACGCTTGATAATCGCTTGTTTAAACCTTGCTGGAAAGTTTCAGTGCCTTGGAGGGGAGAACACCAATTCTGAATTTCAAGTAAGGAGATACAATTTACTCTGAAAACAGGCACTCTTTACTGGAAGGACAACAGATTTTTACTGGTTTTGAGTTGCCCAGTGAACTGGTGCTGGCCCTGAAGAGAATTGTCTGGTTTTCACTAGTAATCTTTAGATTTCGAATCCACTTCACAGAAATATCATGCTGTAGGAATGAATTCCTCCTGAGCTCTGAACTTCATAAGCTGGAATTTCCCCAATACTTGGCTTATTAGAAAACAGAGAAGTCTAGATTTTCCATTACCCTGCACTTTAGGGAGTCATGTGCACCGGTGTATAAGGTGTCAGATATGCTATCGTTCCTAATTAATAGTGTTTTGAACCAATTTATGCTCGTTTTGTCTTGATGTCAGTGGCTGCATAAGGTGTAAGGATCTGGCTTAGATTTTCATAAGCCTGTAAATACGATTCCATAATTAGTTTTGACATTCATGGCTGTTTGTAGGATTTGTGTGCAAGAGTCTGCAGACCAAAAACTTTAACCCAGGAGTCATCCCCTGTGTAACTCCTTTCAGCCAGTGGAGTTACATCAGGGTTGAGTTTGGCTCCCAAGTTGGAAAAGTAAAAAGAGAAAGTTTGCTCATAACCTTTCCCACATGATGCTCCTTGTGATTTCTCTTACCTCCAAGTCCTTGCTGGTAAAAGGAAATGTTTGTCCATAAGCCTACAGTTTTTTCCACCATGGCAGCCTGTGATGAAATTGTATAGCTGCTAATTTGAGTAAAAAGCAGTCCTAATTGTGGAAACTTGGCTTTCAGAGTCCTGTCCTCATCCAGGACCAAGCGCTAATGCAGGAGTCTCTTTGTAGAGAAACTGAAAGATTATTATTGCAGGGACTTCTATCCTCACTGTTGGTGGATGTGTCTGAAAAACGACTGCACAATAGTAATTCTACATTTTGATTTCTCAGTACCTTTTATTCTGGATTCTTGAATTTTTTCGCATATATTATTTAGGTAAGCTGGGTTAGACACTTAAACCACTGCTAAATAGACAGCTGAGCAATGAAAGAGGCAGTGTTATACCAGTAGTGCAGGTGGGTAAAGTGAGACAGAGAGAGAAGTTATTCGCAACATGACCAGATTTGTTCATTACCAGCATTACAGATTGTGCAAGGAAGAGGAGGGCACCTTTGCCTCCCTCTTCTTTATGCTACCCCATTGCCACATTTTATTCTTCAGATGTTTTCAGCAGGTGCATCCCTTTCTGCACTGTCTGTGAGTTCAATCATTTACTGTCTCTTTGTAGGGATGGCTGTGAGCCATATCGAAATGGATACGAATTTTATCACCGATTTCATTCCAAGTCCCCCCTGTTGACAATCCCTGCTTCCGCCTAATAAAGCCAACAGAAAGTTGACTTTCAGATAGATCCCTGTCAACAAATAGGAGATGCTAAGCTGTGGAGCAGCTGAGCATGTGTTGTCCCTACCACCAAAGGGAAAGGAGATGGCCCAGCGTGGGACGGCCGGGAGAGTAAATTCACAGTCCCGCTGTCCTGACTGAGGATCCAAAATAACTTCTGCCTGAGGAGCACAGCGCCCTTCGCAAAGCAGGGCTGAAATAAATTGTGCAATGGGAGATGGTTAAAATTTGCATAGCTGATTATGATAATTGATGACTCAATCCATACTTACTTGAGTATCTGAGAGAGTACAGTGTGTTATGCACAAATTGTTTGCCTAAAACTTCTGTCCTTTTCTAGGTGCGTTTCATCATTAAGATTTTTTTTTCCCTTTCTTTTTGAGTGGGCAGTGTTCCTTAAAGCAGAACGGTGAATTCTGAATAATAAGCAACTTACTGGGATGAATAACCACACATTCTGGGTCATACACGGTTCCCAGTTTTGTGACCCCAAGGAATGTAGGGCTGCACTGTGTGAGTTGCATCCTCAGCTGATACAAATCAGCTTAATGTTATGGAAGATATTAGAATTACTCCAGTCTACATCAGCTTAAACCCTGATCTTGTGAATGTTTTAGCAAAAATATTTGTGAATCAGGTTTTCACTGGGTTTTCCTGTTCAACCACATCTGCTGATAGTACTTTATTGACAGTAGCTGGTATTAGGTGTATTGTCTAGGTGAAGCAATGTTGGCGTTGGGCAGTGAAGTGGCTTTCTCAATGCCGTGCCATGCCATCTGACGGTATGGAGCCATAAGATGTTCCAGTTCAGAAAGAGCCATCCACTGGTGCCAAAGCTGCCAGGTATCAAATCCAGCTTCCCTTGTGAAAAGGATTCAGGGCATGTTCTTTTCTGTATGTTCATAACCCACCCCTTTTCCAGGCATGTAATGATCTGGGCTGTGATACAGCTCCAAAAGCAGGTCCTTGCATACTTAGCGAAGCCATGCTTTGCAGAGACGCTCTGTCTGATGTTCTCAGAGCCTGGGACTTTGCCCTCTCCTCTAATCACCAGTAAGCCCAAGGCCTTTGCAATCCTGAAGATACTACAAGTTCAAGCAATAAATCCACGGTAGGAGAGCAGAAATAGATCTGAAATCTCCCGAGGCCAGTTTCTCTTCTCTAACCACTAAGCAACACGTATTTCCTTTTGTCAGGGTTTGATCCAGTTGTAGTGCAGAGGGGGGAAAAAAGAAAGATGTAGCTGAGCGTGATTTCACAGGATGCTGTCGTTTTGTGTTGGATGGCGGACTCACAGATGCCGTTAGCCCAAACCTACAGAAGGTCACCGTCAGAAAACACTCTTGTCAGTGCTGTGAAAAGAGGGTTAAGTGGAACTGAATTCTAAGTCTTATTGCTTTTAATATAGTTGAATAAGCAGCTCATTCAGCTGTTACTAAGTTGGTGTGTTTTCCTGTTTTCCTGGCCTCCTAGAGAAGTGGGATCAGCATGTGATCTGTGTGCGGAAGGAAGAGTCCTGGTGCAATACGCCTTCAGCGCCTCTTCCCCGATGCCCTGCGATCCCTCGGGGCACTGGAGCCCGCGGGAAGCAGAAGGTGAGTCACAGGGCTGGGGACAAAGACATGGCAGGGGAGACCTTGGGCCAGAGCAAAAGGAGAGCCACAGAGACTGGGAAAATCTGGGAGAGAGTGACTGATTATACCTGTATGTAGCATGAACAAAACTAGAGGACAAATGAATACACGGTGCCCTGAAGTAATGCCACTGGCTGAAATACCTGTGTTGTGGCCCCCGTGTCCTGACCCTGCCCATGAATTAAATGAATTCCGGGAGCTGAACCTGAATTTCAGAAAGCAGCGGAGTGCCAAGAAATGCTGACCATTCACATCTGCCAGATGAATTCCTCAGGGGAGCTGTTTATTCCTTCTAGTCCAACTCCAAAAGTAAAGAATGGCATGCTGTTTATTTGGGCCTGATTTCTGCTGCCTTCACTTGCATTGAATCGTAACGGGTTGCACCAGCAGACAGGCTGAAAGGAGATTGCCCTTTGGGCAAGTACTCTGCAGCAGGAACGCAGGTGACTACATCAAGCCCAGTCTAGTTCAGGGTGTTTTTCAAGTCATACTCACTCCTCCTCTCCAGAGCACGTTGGAGGGAGAATGGTGTGCTGGCTGTACAATGCCATTAGATCTCCATCATTAACTCTCCTCCATATGTACTTTCCATTACCTAAATAGGTGGATATGGTAGAGCATATTTAAGATTATACCAGGCAGAGGTCAGTAATCACAGTTTATGGTTTGGAAGGAACAGAATATTATTTCAATCTGTCCATCATGAGCTCTTCCTTCGGGAGCAGCACACTGGGCGCAGACTTCCCTGTAAACACACAGGTGGGCTCAGTAAACTCAAAGACCAATCCCTGGATTTTGCAAACTTATTATACAAATACCTCCTTACATTAAGGGCTTCTCTGTCCTGCAGCTAGAGTATGTGGGAGTTATTCTACAAGGAAGATTATTTGTAAGCTAATATGGTGATATACGCAGTGCTGGTGTCCTAAGGTCAACACGTGCAGCAAGCTACGTCCGTGCTGTGCGCTGGGACGAGATTATGTGGGCAAGTGTCCTCTGTCCCGTGTGCCCATCTCTCAGGGTGGGGGCCCAACAGAGGTTGTGGTTCATTCCGGCTCAGCCCCCCAGTTTGGACGTCCACAGGCCAAGGCTGCCAGGCACAGTGCAGGGGGCACCTGCCCCTTGGGTGGATGTTGTTCAAGAGCTTCAACCTCTTCAACCTGGGAAGCAGTGCTCCAGCTACGGGTGTGACTGGATTATCAAGTAAACACGATTAGCGAAGTTTGGATCACTTGCAGTAGTAGTGGAGGGTGGAAGGTGGAATTTCCACTTAGCCAAAGATGACAAGACTTTGAAACCTGGTTTCGTTTGGAACAAAACTTGAAACTTTTGAAATTCTCCATGAAGGAAAATTAAAAACAAAAAGTGTTTGAGGCCAGCCAAAATGTTTTGTTTAGCTCATATAATTCTTCTTTCATGAACTTCGGTTAGATTATGGCATTTGAAAACATCCCCTTTTACTATATAATCTAGGGCAAAAGCAACTTTTAATATCAAAATGAAAAGGATTTCAAAATGCAAAAGTGAAATGATTTCTTCCAAAAATGTCAAAACACAATGTTCCAATATTGTTAGAACTTTCTTCCTATTTCCTCTTCCAGAATAAAATTTTGGCCAAATAAACCCAATTTTGCAAAGTGTTTTGATTTTGAAAGAACTGCATATTCCATTGAGATACGCAGTTCCGTCAAAATTTCTCCAACGAGCTCTGATTTGAAAACTTCTAGATCTCACACGTCTTGCCAGCGGCATCATTCCTAGAGAAACTAAGCTACTCTAAGATTTATTACTCGGCTGCATTTTGCATTTAATTTCCTCTACTTAGAGTGTGTGCCTGCATGTTCTTAACTATGAAGGGTGCAGTCTGATCCTTATCTGTCTCATTCAATTGCTGTTGTGCCATTGCTCTGAAAAGAAAATTTGGGAATCCTATCGTCTTACTACGTTAATAAGTTGTCTCCACTTTAGGGTAGAAAATATACCAAGTGTATGGTATTTGTTGCTCTGTAATTTTCTGTCATCACTACCACACTCCCTGACGTTCAGGATCTCTGCCTATTTGCACTTGGTCTGAGTTACAAATAGCACAGTTAGATCATTGTCTGGCTTCTTTAATTGTCTATCTGCGAGTACTCAAGCATGCAAGCTTTAAATTCACTTTCTGCAAGCGTTCATGTGTGTAAATCTCCACTGCTTGAATGTTCATGGAAAGTGAATACAAAAGAGGCAGAAGCATGGCCAAAATGAACTCATTTTAAAATTTGAGACGACACTCATGGAAAATGTTTCGTAGTACTCATCCAGCTTCTTACCAGAAAACCACATTTCTCACGTGTCTCTGAAGCAGCTCTGAACCTGGTTGGTCTGATTTCATTTTCCGGAGGTCTCATAGCATCGTTAGGCTGCGCAGTTATCCCAGGTAGCTGACACCACCTGTGGTCCTTGACTACGTGTGAGCCGTGCTCATTGCAAAACTCTGCCCTGGGGACTGTGTCTTCCCCAGTGCCCTGCTTGTGCCCGAGCGTGGTGGGGTACAACCCCCCCGGGCTGGGATATTTTGTGATTCTTTCTCAGCCAGTTGTGCCCCTTGCATGAGTGGCTGTTTGCTCCTCGGCAGCAGTTGTGGGAAGGCAGTTCTGATTTACTCTTTGCCTTCACCACGGAGCAAGAAAGCTCTAACCTACCTGGATTCTCACCAGCAACACCAGCTAGATAAACAAACCTTACAGCACCTCCACAACTTGGTCAAAGGGGTTTTTTATGTATGAAAGGTGATTTTGGATCAAACCCAAGTACCTTTGCTTACTGTGCAATATATGCATATATCAGTCAATCCTACTGCCTGGCTCACTATTAACAAAAAGAAGTGTGAGAATAAAAACTTGCTCTTGCTGCTGTAGGCTGCTGTAGTGCCCTGCCTTTCCCAGTAGCCAATATTTCACTCGAGAGATTCATTCTGTATTTGCAAGTGGAATTGTCTCAGTTGGACATGAGAGTCCCACTGGATGGTCCCTTTGTCTTGACCGCTTAAGAAAGGTGGCAGATGAGTTGTAGTTGTGACAGTGGCTGCATCCTGAGAAGCTGCTGATCCCAGCTGGCCTTGCTGTACAAGTGTGTCAAGTCTCTCTTTGTGTGCTGGGGCGACGGAGTGCCATTCATCCCAGCCACTTCACTTATACTGCGGGGCACACCAGGCTGTGGCTGACGTTTTCGGGGGAAGCCTCCCTCCCAGCCTACCATCCTTGCTCTCTAACCAGGAGATGGGGTTTGGCTTTTCCTCACAAACTTCACATTCTGTTTGTGTTAGGCAAGGCATGATGTTCTATAACTGACCTTGCTGATGATCTCGTAAGCTTAAGGATTTCAGAACCTGAGTGCACAGGGGCAGAATGACTGCTACACCATTACTTTTCATATACAAATGTTTATAATTTTCATAGTATTTGCCCATCTCTAGAAATCTAGAGTTACATGGAATAAGGTTTCCATCCTCTTCCACAATTAAATGAATGTTTCTTACCCAGGTCTAAGTGTCTGATGACATTTAAGAAAGGGACTCTCTACCTCTACTGAGGTTTTCAATCTATGGAAGGCTACAATCAAGCTCCCATTTTGGGGTAATGATCTGCATTAATCTCCCTGGATGCTGAATTCAATTCATCTAATTCTGGGGATCATGCCCTGACCTACCAAAACATGTAGATTTATTCACTATTTAAGTCTTACAGAGGTCTTGAACTGGCAGAGGTGAATTTGCAGGAACCCAAGTGGAGACCACTTTTGAAAACATACTAGGCTGTGAGCCATTAATCAGCAACGTGTTCCTATCTGTGAGGAGGCAGTGATAAGATTCACAACTCTTTCCAAAGCTCTCTGAGATACTAGGGTTAAAAACCACCTTCTTAGAGCTGCAGTCAGGAGCTCACTGTAAGCCTGCGAGAAAGTCATCGGAGAGCCCGGCCAAGCGCATGTGGACGGCAGCGAATGTTGTGAGATAACGTGAGTCGAGTGGGGTATTGGCTACTCAGAAATGATTCTACACAGCACTTGCAAGCTTGCCAGGGGGAAAAACTAGAGTGTGTTAAATGGAACTCTGGCTTTCTTCAAAATATTTTGCTGCTGTGGTATCTCCAGATGCTGAGGTTAGTGGCGTTCCCGCTGCTCTGTGGCATGCGAGGAGGAGAGGAGGGCTATGGGATATGTGCGGGTGAGGGAGAAGCGTTGAAAGTTGAGCATCTGCAGGACAATTGCATTGGATCGCGGGGAGGACTGCCTGAGATACTGGGAAATCTATTCTGCATCTGGGCTCATTTGATATGAACAGGAGAATTTCCTCTGTTGTTTATCCTTGACAAAAAAGACACATTTCTAACACTTCATTGGATCACAGACAATAAGAATAACCTTCACACATTGCCCTTTTCTCTTTAAATTAGTAGTGATGTCCTGTTTGTTCATGTTTGCCCAGTGCTTTATCTTGCTTTCTTCCTTGGTTGCAAACAGCTGTTCTCTCTGTTTTTTTTTCTCTGTCTTCTCCATTTCTCTCCTCTTACCTTTCGTTATCTTTACTTTTCCCTTTCTTCTTTTTTGTACTTCATCTTCTCCCTGTCCTGCTTGCTCCCTTTTCGTGTGATTTTTTGGGAAGGAAGAGGGAATTTATAGCTCTCACTGGATTCTGTTACTAACTGTTCCACCCATCTGACCTCTCTGGATCTTGCAGTCCATGACTGTGCCAAATTGTAATGTTACCATAGTATTTGGGAACCCAGCAAGCATTGTGGCTTTCATTAGTTTTTAGTAATACCTCCCATGTAGTCGAACGTAGCCAACGGTGAGAAATGTACAAGTACAAGTGCCTGTTGTTTCATCACGGCGAGCACAAAGAGCCAGCTCAGACCTGTGTTCCGTGTGCCTCTGAAAAAAAGGGTCTTGCAGAACGTGCTAGATTAACCTGTAAGTGGCGTAGGAGTTGGCCCTCAACAGCACAGCACAACAGCTTCTTGGAATCACCAAAAGCTCTTTTCTTTGCCTTTGTTAGAGATAAGAAGTTTGTATTTTAGAGTGACAAGCAAGGGAGTGAGTTCACAGAGGTGAACTGAAGGCAAAGTGACTGTTTATTGGCTAAAGTACTGAGTGGAATGGGTGCAAAATACCGTTGTTTGGCACAGGGGAAGGCAGGCACTAGAAATAGGAAATGCAGGACCAGACGCACTGCACAGTATGTGTTGTGTGAGTCCAGTCCAGCTGAGCACTTAAACTGGGTTTGCATCTCTCACCTGGCCAGGAGTCGTTGATGTTCTATTCCTCCTCTCCATGCTGGCAATGCCTGCTCTGCTCAAGTAAATAACGAGTTTCCAGGACAGATATGCTCTGCTGCCACCAGTTTATCTGTCAAGACTGATGCCAATGATAACCCATGTTTTCTAACTTCTTTTGTGCCCTGTCTTTGCTTCCTTCTTTCTTTCCAGGGCACCCTGATGTTGAGCAACCTTGTAAATCCAGTGTCAGAACATGGAGTCCCAACTCGGCAGTCAACCAACACACGGTGCCCCCCGCCTGTCCCGAGCCTCAGGGCTGCTACCTGCAGCTGGAGTTTCGTTATCCCCTGACTCCAGAGTCCCTCACAGTCTGGGTGACATTTGTTTCCCCGGACTGGGATTCCAGCGGAGCAGTGAATGACATCAAGTTGCTCACCATCAGCGGGAAGAATATTTCTCTCGGGCCGCAGAACGTCTTCTGTGACATCCCATTGACCATAAAGCTGGATGCAGGACAAGTGGGCGAGGAGGTGTATGGGATCCAGATCTACACTCTGGATGAGCACCTGGAAATTGATGCTGCCATGCTGAGCTCCGTTCCCCACAGCACACTGTGCGCAGACTGCAAACCCATCCAGTACAAAGTGGTTCGGGACCCTCCTTTCCAGTCTGGATCTCCAGTTGTCATCTCCAACCTCAGCAGGAGATTTGTTGACACGTAAGTACTTCTTTCCAGAGAGCTGAATAGACTTGTTCAGAGAAAAGCAATAACCTGTTCTTCTCATCCTGTTAATGTCCAGCATCACAACTGATTGTTAGGATTTTGAACTAGATAAATGTACCAAGTATTACCAAGAGAGGATGTTCTCATAGTTTCTCTCTGGAACCAGGAGCGTGGGATTTCATGGACAGTTTTTGAGAAATTTCCAGGCTAGTTGTGCAGAGACATGAAATTCAGGCTTTCCTTAAGCAGAAAGGATATTGCAAACTACCTGAGGTATGACAAGTTAAATGTTTAAGGTAACCTAAATGAGGACCTCTGGAGTAATGTGGTCATCATTTTTTTAGAAATCTTTTGAAAGTAATATTTTGATAGAGGAGACAGAATGGCTTTCAGTGCTGCAGCACCAATTAACTGCTAAAGAAAGGATGCAAAAAATACACTTGCATGTTCAGGTACATAAATGTATTTCAGCCACTTTCATTTTCTGCTTTCGTGTGTCACTGAAACAAGTTGTGTTGGAGCGGCATTGCTCTAAGATAGCAAACACACCAAACGCGCCAGTTTGTTGTGGGGACTGAGTTTCATCCCAGATGCAGTTACACTCATCTAGTCAAGGAATGCATGATTGTTGAGGAAAGTCCAACTTCAAAATATTTAACAATTTCAAGGAGATCCATGATCTACCCGTAGGCATTCTACAGCAGCAAGAAAAACATCTTTTGCATAACATGATTCCCTGGAAATGATTCACTCATCTGTGGGAACAACATGAAGCTCTTATGAAAAATGAACACCAGATAAAAGGAAACCTGCTAAGAAAACTGCACTCTAATTTAGAAAAGATTATCTAATTAGTACAGCTAATATCAAGGAAGCATACATCATTATGGTCTTCTAAAGCATATTTAAATATAATAAAAATGATTAATTAACAATTCAGTAATCATGAGCTGCCATCCCTTTCATGGCCCAATTATACAGCTTAGAAGATGCAAACTGTCCCTACGGGTTTAAAAATTCAAGGTAACTAACAATAGTGAATATAAAAACAAAACCCAGGACATCACTGAGGTTTCTCATGTGCTGAAAGTTAAGCATGTGCTTAAGTGCTTTCTTGGGTTGTACCCTTGTTCCAACAATTGCTGGCACTTAAACATGAGATGAATATTGACATATTGGAAACATGGAAAATGGTGAATTTTCCCATGGTTTTGCTGTGAAAGCATTTTTGCCTGAAACCTGGCCCACTCTCGTTGGAAAATGGGACTGGTTTGGTTTGAAATATTTGCATACCTTAGCACAAGTTCCCACAGAAACAGGTCCAGTTTTGAGTTCATAACGAAATGTGAAAAAAAAAAACAAAACCAAAACCAAAACAAAACTGGTATTCTGAGCTCTAGTCCCTGGTCTTTTATTATGGTCTTGTGAGTGACTTCTAGCTTATAGCCAGCTGTAGTGAAAGGGTGCTCTAATAATTAAATCTATAGCCAGGGATTAATGACAGTTTTCCTGTGCGTCACTGAATAAATCACATGGGTAATATTACTCTACCTGTCTGAATGTCTCACCTAGTTACATCGCCAGCTAAGAATCAGACATAAAATTTATGTTAGTCTTTGTGGGCTCTACCTGTGATCAGTAGCCAGAAGCGGATGCTCCTGGAGGCTGGCACGGCCAACCCAACCAAAGTCTCTAGTGTGGCTGGCCTCAGGTTGTCTCTGTCTTTCCAGAGCGTACAGGAAAAATCCTGCCAGTGAGCTTCGATGATATGATTGGAAAACTAAAATGAAGTTTTCTAGTCACTGGGTGAGGAGTCAAAGATGGAAATTCTTAAGCGCTTGTAGTTGCTTTTGATTCGGGATTTCAGCATGTGTTTGAAATCTTGAAAAGCGGGATGATTTTTTGATCCTAACATGCCTATGTGCACAGCACTGATCCATATCCTCTGGTGATGGGGGTCATGCAGATTCGTAGGCTGATGCTGTATGTCCAGGCTGCTGCTGGGCCATGTCTTGAGACGCAGCAAACTTGCTGAAACTCTGCATAGAGTTGTGGTTATGTCGTGGAGGCAAAGGCAGGATGAATTTTGTATTAGCACCTTGTGCAAAGAGTAGCCACAGTCCTTGTACTCCATAAGCAGGAAGGAGGGAAGATGCTTTAGGGAAGTCGGGGACAGAGGTGTTGCGCTGTGCTCCTGTATATATGTATGTAGAGAGGTAAGTGCAATCTCTCTCGACCTGTTTGCATCTGCCTGTTTGTCTCATTCTGTACAGCTAGAAGTCAGCATATCTGTGCAGCCAGACTTTGCAGCCCCTTTATCTCTCTGTAAGCCCCAAGCCAGTTACCCCTCCTTTATGCTTTTGCATGTTTTCCATATTAAATAAAATTACACCCCCACATGTTCTATGGCAGGTTATTTTGAAGGCAGTGGCATATCTTTACTCTTGCCTCCTCTGACCTTGATCTTCACATTCTCTTTTTCTCCCAAAGAAAATATTTGCTTGCACTGTTATCTGTGAGCAAGATCCTTTCCCCAGGTGTGGCGATGCTGAAAGAAAAATTAATTTCTCCTACCTTCTTCCCGTCAAAGAGAGGGAACTTCTCTTTAAGCTGAGCGGAGAGATAGCCTTTAATGGATAGCCCTTGCCTAGTCAGCACTGGGTGCACCACAGAGGAGAGTAAATAGCTAGAACAGTGGAAACCTTTTATTAAGAAATGCAAAATAACGCCAGACCTTCTGTTCTAAAGCTTGAATTTTAATCTCAGCTCTTGGCTCAAGCTGAGGCTAACAATCATTTCTAAGGGACAGGACCTTATCCTTGGACCTTACAGAAACCAGGTGAGATACACTCAATTCCACTGAGTATGATCAGCCGGAATTGCTGGTATCCGTGATACAAAATGAGAGTCAGAGCCTAGGAAGAGAGCAGAAAGCTAAATAAATCAGTGGGGGGAAAAAAGAGGTCAGGCCAGGTGCAGCACAGAACTGCTGAGTCTTCACACCGCAGCGAGTGATAAGGAAGGAGCCTCATCTGCAAGTCTCAAAGTCTCAGCTCACAATTTAATCCAAAATTCAGGTTGTGTTCATACGTAGAGGGTTTCATTCTGGCTGTTCTCTAGAAACAATGTGCAAGATAGTCACAATGGTGAATGTGGTAATTGCTTTGCCCTCGCTTTGCCCTTACTGTAGTGTTTTTACGCTCACATCGTTGCAGTTGGAAAGTAATCATTGTTCTTGCATTCACTTCTAGCAAGCACTGGTTTTTTTAAAGAGCTCAGTGAGAAGGGAGTGCCCACAATGAGATGCTCTCCTGAGGATGTCACAGGTACAGTCAAGTGTCAATCTGGGGTGAGCAGCCCGTGTTCTCCATTACACTCTCAGTAACCACATTTGCGAGCAGTGGGCAGCAGGGTGTGCTGGAAAGATCTGCTCTCTCCCCTCTAGCAGGCCAAGCCGAGAGACACTGACGTTAGTTTTGGAAAGTTGTTGGAATGACTGGAAAAGTTTCTAAAGAATTGGAAATTTTTCCAACTTTTCTGCCACAGAAAAGGTTTGTAGGAAACCTCAATATGTGGTGGATGACAATGGATTGTGTCATCTTTATGGAGTTAACCTGTAGGCTTTTTTCAAGACAAAGGCATTGACTGAAATAACCTTAGAAAGAATCCCAGCACAAAGCCCTGGGACGAGGTTTTGCAGAGTTGAGCATCACTGAGAAGCAAGTATGCTGTCCTGTGATATATTCATCTGAGCTATTCCTACACTAACTAGAGCTTTAGCACCTAAGTGGCACCTAGAGATACTGCATTCATACTTGAAAAAGAAAGAAGAGAGACTACGAGACAAACTTGCATTTTCTCAGATAGGGAATATGTTTTTCTTCTCAGTTTTGGCTATTTTAACCTATGTTCTATGGCTAACCCTTTTCTGTTGCTCAATAATAGTTGGAGGGGACTGGTCGTCATCTGTGTACAGTTATTGTTTAAGTAAGTACAATATTTTAAAATATTTTGTTAGAATCGGGAGTTCCTGTAATCTCCATGTCATTTACTGTGTTTTAATTCTGCCCCTGTGACGGTGGAGTGCAGGTCTCACTCAGGCTTGGAGTGATTGCAGAATGACTGAGAAATTACCGTCGTCAAGATTGCAGGTAGTTGGAGGGCTGCTGTGGCATTGTTCATGGGTCTTTAGGGTTTCATGTACTTTAGCATTGTACTTTATGCAAAACAATTGTTTGTTTCAAAATTTGCATTATTGATGCATTTGCCATTTGTTACTGGTATCCAGTCAGAAGGGCATATGGTAAGTGACTTGTCAGAAACCCCAGACAATGAGTAGTTGAAGGAGATGGAAAACAGTTCTTAGTCTGAAAGTTCCTACAAATATGACCAAGCAGAGAGGCTGGAGAATCAGCAGTGGCTATTGATAATGAGCAATAATTCATTACAGCCAATTATTGGCATGCCTTTTAGCGCCTGAACTCAACAGGAAGGTTGCATTTACAGGACGCAGGCCCAGCTGAACAGAGGACTGGAAAAATACATATATCACAATGATGATATGTAAGCCTAAGTCCCTGCTGAATGCAACACTAAAATTTCATGGCAACATCTGTCCTTATTATGGCATTCCTTCCTTCATCTTGAAGATCTATTTCTCTATTTTCTGAAGGTCTACCAGCCAGAGGAATGTATGATCTAAAGCAGCTGAAATGAATTGCCAGATCCATCTGTCATGAAGATAATTAACACCATATTTCCACCCAAACAAGATACAGATCGCTGAGTGGATGTTCTCCCGACACCAAAAGCTGAAGTCCATATTATCACCATCTTCTGCTCACCCCTCCTCCACAGTTACCATGCCAAACCTCTCTTGATATGCCAGGAAATAACTGGGGAGTATCTAAGATAGGACTGAAATGTTAAGAAAGCACTTTGCATGCCTAGATTTATCTGCAAGACCTGCTAGGTTCTCCGTGCAATATCGGCAT